TTGCTATTTTATTAATATATTGAATTTAAATCCAGATTCTGCTCCTTATTACTTTAGAAAAGTTACTTAAGTAGTCTATTCTTAATTTTTAACTTGTAGAATAGGAATAATAATAATGTGTTATATATTATGGTATTATTGTAAGGATTAATTGAGTTAATATATGCCAAGTATTTACCTGTGTAAGCATACTGCACCAAGGAATTAAGTGCATTAGGATCAACTCCTTCCATCTTGACCTCTTCTTGTTTGGCTTCAAGCAAATCATTAGTAAACATTGCAGCAAAATAATCAGACATGGCACTGAGAACCAACCTGGAAATAAGAAGGTTTCGTAAGAAAATAAATCAGTCCATGATCTTATTGAAAAACATGAAATTCAGTCAGAAAGTTTTTAACACTTGTGAGACTCTTTTTTTTTCTATAAAACTTTCACAATTCAGTAAAACTAGTGAAATTAGAAAGGCAAATAGTAATTTGATATTCTTTTAAAGGATTTGTGATGTTTTCTTCATCAATTTTTCAAGTTTAGATCTTCTAAATATCCCACAGGGAAGTGAATAATATACGGTAAAGCTTTTGAAAAAAAATGTATCTTTATTGTTGAAAGTATTACAGATGTGCCCCTTTTTTTCCCATTGACCCCCTCCATCTAGCACCTACCCCTCGCAGGCCTTCATCACACTATTGCCTGTGTCCATGAGCTATGTATAAATGCCTATTAAGTTCCCCAGGTAATCTCTCCCCACCCACACCCATCCACACCTTCCCTCTGAGATGCCTCAACCTGTTCCATGTTTCTGTCTCTGGATCTATTTTGTTCATAAGTTAAGTTTGTTCATTAGTTTCTACATATGAGTGAGATCATGTGATGCTTATCTTTCTCTGACTGGTTTATTTCACTTAGCATATTATTCTCCAGATCCCCCCATGTTGTCTCAAAGGGTAAGAGATTCTTCTTTTGGACAGCTGCATAATATTCCATGCTGTAGATATACAACAGATTTTTTATCCACTCATATACTGATAGGCACTTGGGTTGTTCCCAAATCTTAGCTATTGTAAATTGTGCTGCTATGAACATAGGGGTGCATATATTCTTTCTCATTGTTGTTTTGGGTTTCTTAGGATATATTCCTAGACGTGGGATTACTAGGTCAAATAGCAGTTCCTTTTTTTAACTGTTTTTTTTTTTTATTTCATAGAGGAAGGGAGAGAGAGAGAGATAGAAACATCATAGATGAGAGAGAATCATTGATCGGCTGCCTCCTGCATGCCCCCTACTGGGGATCAAGCCCATGACTGGGGCATGTGTCCTTGACTGGAATCAATCCCAGAACCCTTCAGTTCGCAGGCCAACGCTCTATCCACTGAGCCAAACCAACTAGGGCCCTTTTTTAACTTTTTGATGAAACTCCATACTGTTTTTCATAGTGGCTACACCAGTCTTCAATCCCACAAGCAACCCTCTCATTCAACATAGTACTGGAAATCTTAGCCACAGTGATCAGACAAGAAGAAAAAAAATAAGAAGCATCCAAATTTGAAAGGAGGAAGTAAAGCTGTCATTATCGCAGATGAGATGATACTGTACATAGAAAATCCTAAAGAGTCCACCAAAAAACTACTGGATTTAATAAATGAGTTCGGCAATGTAGCAGGATACAATGCAAAATTAGCAGTATACAATATTAACACCCAGAAATTGTCATTTTTATACACCAATAGTGAACAACTCTCAGAAAGAGAAACTAAAAAAATAGCAATTCCATTTACCATTGCAACAAAAAATTAAGACATTTAGGAATAAAATTAACTAAGGAGGCAAAAGACCTATACTTGGAGATTTATAGAGTGTTGAAAAAAGAGAGAAAGGAAAAAATAAACCAGTGGTCATGGATTGATAGAATCAACATCATTAAAATGTCCATACTACCCAAATCAATCTATAAGTTCAATGCAATCCCCATTAAAATACCAATGGCATATTTCACAGATCTAGAACACACACTCCAAAAATCAGTATGGAATGCAAAAAAATGCTAAATAGCTGCAGCATTCCTGAGAAAGAACATAGTTGGATATCAATATGTACCAGATATCAATTTATACTACAGAGCCACTGCAATCAAAACAGCCTGATACTGGCACAGGAACAGGCATATAGATCAATGGAACAGAACAAAGACCCCAGAAATTGACCCAAACCATTATGCTCAATTAATATTTGACAAAGGAGGCAAGAACATAAAATGGAGTAAAGATAGTCTTTGAGGGAATTGAATAGATATGTGCAAAAAATGAAACTAAACCACTAATTTATACCATACATAAGAATAAATTTTAAATTGATAAAATGACTTAAATGTAATTCATGAAACCAAAAAATCTTAGAAGAAACCATAGGCAGCAAAAGCTCGGACATCTCTCATAGCAATATATTTGCCAATACATCTCCTAGGGCCGTGGTTGGCAAACTGCGGCTCACGAGCCACATGTGGCTCTTTGGCCCCTTGAGTGTGGCTCTTCCACAAAATACCGACTTCTGCGCATGGGA